AGACAAATATATAGACAATGTGCAAGAATTAAACATGTGTAAACATACACTAACTACATAAAACATCCTACTTCTTTAGCATAAATTATGACTGTCCAAACAAACTGGAAATTGTCAAGTATCCAAAAAGTAATCAATAAAGAAACAACAAAACATAGACAATTGAGATCCTTTTTAATCAAAGAAAAGTTGAAACAGAGAACTGACAAACAGATAGATGATAATAGATAGGCGAATATTATATAGAGAAGATTAAGCGCAAGAGTCAGTCAGTCAGCCACAACGTAGGACCAGGCACATATATACATCGGTCCAAGTTGCCATACCTCATTAACACAACAAGATGAACACATGATTCATATAAGTGGTTAATTCAGAGGTGGTAATATATAAAAGAAAGATTGCAATAAGGATATAGTACAGGAAGAAATAATTAGTCCGTAGAAAGAAAGATGTGAAGCGATTTTAATCTCTTAGTTTAAGAGAAGACAGAGAGTGTATACACCGACGCCATTGTGACCGATTCTGAGCCATGAGAGAGTTTTAAAAAAGGGTTTATAAAATCGGACTACTGGGGAGTCATCAAACAATTAGTTTATCTCTAAACATGATCTATGTAAGAAACTCAATTTAAATTAGACAAGAATCATTGGAGAATATCCAGAATATGGTTTGAAAAAATAACCAACAGATTTAGTATGAATAAACACTGGAATTCAAGACCTAGAACAATGTAAAGATTAGAAGCATTTGTACCGCTGTGACGAATTATGAGCGATGTTACCCAACGTCTCCCAACCGCTGGTCAGGATAATTATCCAAACGCCAACCAGATAACTTGCACTTACTAATGTGATTTAGTTCAACACTTGATGAATTAATGGAATGATACAACTTTTTAGTTTGGTCACACCCGGCTTTCTGTCAACCTACATCTACTTCAGATAACACCATACATCAAGGTGGGGGGTTGGTTGGTCATGTGTAATGCATGCGCCAACCATTTTAGTCAACAAAAATTCACAACCTTATCAACCGATTAACTATCTTTACCTAATACCTTGTGCTTAACCTCAACACTATTCACTCAATTATTCCACAATATGCGAACAATATTTTCTATGCATAAATTACACGAAGTATACAACTTTTAACTAATTTAATCTTCAAAACTAAAGGTTTTCCATATAGAAAGATGATATACTATCTTCGTTTTATTAAAAACACGGAATGAGGGATAGAGAAAAAAGAAAGAAGTAATAAATAGATTAATGACCAAATCACCACAACATAACCAATTATTTTTCGACATTTAGAACTATGAATACTATCTAACTTCTCAAACAGGATCGGCTATATGAATCAACAGTTTAGTGTAATTGAAAGCTGAGTACGTTCTATTTTTTGCAATAAGTAATTAAAATAAAAGTCAAACACGTGCCTAACAGCTCCACTTTTGCAGGTAGAAAAAACTTACTACTATTACTACTGTAACGAACGAACACTCAAGTGGGGACAACAAATTAATTTTTTAATAAAAAATTACAGAATATCTTGGTAAAATACGAGAACCATACATTGAATACTTCATTTGTAAATATCCATCATTTGTCCTTCACAATCCGTATGATTCTTTCAATTCATAATCCCTACCTGTTTTCTTCAACTCGATCTTCTTAGCCTTCTGCTGCTAGGTTTTCCATTTCCGATCGGTGTTGCTTACTACTTATATCTGTCGACATAAGTAACATACACCACCACTACTATCGAGTAATCTAGGAAGTTTTTAATGGTTCCAATCACATTGTAACTTATGATTTAGTAACTGTGAGTATCATGCAAAATTATAACCTAATAACCAAACAAATGAATAATTTAGATAAATCTAATTTTAAAAACTAATATCAGTTACCGTTAGGTCAATAAGTAATATGTAACATAATTACCCTCATTATCATCTACTAATAAAAGTTCTATGAGTAGCTACACATCGAGTAATCTGAAAGTTGTGATAAACAATGGACAAAAATCAGTGGAGGTGGATTAAACGGATAGCAATATTATCATTATTACTATTATTTATTACTATTATTGTTATCCCAATTATCTTTTTCCAATATAGTAGCAGTAAGTAAATCAAGCTGATAGAAAACAAAATCCTTGTTTGCTGCCTTCATGTTTCACATATTAACCAATAGGAAAATGGATTGTGTCCACGTATGCACGCGTATATATATATATATATATATATATATATATATATATATATATATATATATATATATATATATAGAGAGAGAGAGAGAGAGAGAGAGAAGCTTCACACAGAAGAGTGAGATTATCATAAAAGACGATCCAGGAGGTTGGGTGACAACAATACTGTAACGTTACTGTCTAGTAGCTAGCTATCGAAATTTTGAGTCATACACTATGCCAAATAAAAATTAAAAAAATCAATCAACCAACCTCACCTAATCCCAAACTAATTTTTTAAAAAAACTACTACCATGAAAAATATATACCGTCTTCAATTGCTATTAATTTTAATAACACATAATTTGATATTGTTTCATCTATTTGATTATTATAATTTATTTTGTTTTCAAGGTAAAAACAGCCAACATGCCAAAATGTCAACATGTTAAATGTTAACACGTTTAAACAAAGAAAAATATGTTGAATATTTTCAATTTGGAAAAGAAAATAATCATTAGCGAATAATATTAAAATACATAAATTCTATTGAACAAATAAAATATAATGTGAAATATGATCAACTGTATGAACAACTTGATTTAAGAGATAATTTATATTATGTCATTTATACTATGTTTATTGGAATTCACACATAATACATGTACACATTGTTTCTAACAATAGAAAAATATAACATCACACACGGTCAGTTTTTTTAGTTTATCTAACTATATTTCTTTCTTCTTTTTTTATATCATTGTAACAATTATCATTATAGAAAGACTAATAACATTATCGAATTGTTAAAACTGATGACAGGAACAATATCATACTTTCCTCGAAATAGTTAAATGTTGACTGTTTTAAATTATTTATAATCAGAACTTGGTGGAATTCAGTCAGTCATATGTAATGGCATACATATGAGTCAGTTCAAATAGCACAGTGAGATGAAATTATCAAGACAAATGAGGGAGTGATAGAAGTATACAAACAGTATCAGTAATAGCATAAGTGATTATGCATAGATAACAGGATTCAAGAAAGAATAAATTCGTTGGACAAAGTAATTTAACGATAAGCATGTTAGTATGGAGGGGTTTTTGGAAATAGTTAAATTTGTGTTTCCACACCGCCATCAGATCCCGACGTAGTGGTCTAAAGGATGTGTTCGTCGCGAAGCCCAGGGGTTCGACAAGTACCAGTGCCGTGGATATCTACCTAAGACGAAACGGCTTACTAGTGCTTCCTAATTTTCAACGGTAGTCTACTGAAATTCCATGGTGTGCAACTAAAACCTAATTATGCCATTAATTTATGTAGTGATGATGATATGATGATATAAATACATGGGGAAAAGTCTATGAAATCTTCCTAGTTGATAGATCAAACTGAAATTTTCTGACAAAAATATTATCCTCATAAATTATACTCTAATTGAGGTAATATCTTCCTGGTGTGACATCTTGGAGCGACTGATGTGACACTGTTCAAACAAAAAGTGATTTTGTGAAATTCGTATAGATTTTTACTTGTACTAACTTTATGTACTAACTCGCTAGATATACACACAAGTCCACTAAAATAGTATCTTTTATCTTCAAAAAAACTGTAAATCAACCACTGAACGTAAAACGTCACCTAAAGTCACCAAAACAATTTAACGCATAAAATTGAGTCTTTAAGTAAGCAACAGGAATGGTCTTCCATGAAAAGGCTCTGTGACTGTCGGATATCTGTAATGCAAAAGAATAACTAGCATCTTCAGTGATGCTACCTCCCCACAGATGAGGAAGGGAAGGTTAGAGAAAATTATCTATAAAATCCAGTGCAACTCATATACAGGTTGCTCAACAAAGTTTGAAAAGTATAGAGCTAATAATACAAAACACCAACCATTCACAGTAGTGGTATGACCAACCAGAAACATTTTTTTCTGGTTCTGTGATTACACCGTGATTGACATAATCATCAACACTAATCAATTTTTCAAATCAGGTACTACAGGAAAAAATGACCATCAATGGCATCATCATAGGGTTGTGAAGATTGTTGAATTTCTTTTAAATCATCAACCTAAGTTAGACCACCATGTGCTCACTAGTGAGTGTCTTCAAGAGGTAATTCTGGGGTTCTAGTGAGAGACCGTGAAGAGTGGAGTTAATCCATATCGAATGCACGGCAGTTTCCTACTGAAGACAATAGAAGATGGTCGCACAATGTCGTGGATTGATTAAAGTTAGAAATTAACACAGTTGGATGCCGTCTAGAGATTACGCGTTCACGCGTGCGACTGATGATCCTGGGTTCGGTCCCCACGTGAGGGATCGTGGATATGCACTGCCGATCAGTCCCATACTGGGTCGAAACAGCCGTCCAGTTCTTCCAGGTTTTCAATGGTGGTTTAATTTAAGTCAATTCGTGATTTCAATGGACTTCTATGGTGTATTTAACCAGCATATGTCAACCAACCGAAAATTTTCACTCTAAAAAATGGGAACAATTTAGTGGCTGTTCAGAAAATCTATAGGAGCTCTAATACTCTTAAAAAATGGATGGAAAACATCATGATCCAATTGTATCTGAAATACTATCTTGAGTTTATGTGATGTCGAATGAATCAATATTGTTTTACAGTTTCTTCCCACTTAACTCAATGATGAAAACAGACATTTTTCAATACAACGGAGATGAATATACTGACTATAAGGCAGATAAATTTAGGAGAGAATATTGAAGGTTCATTAAATAGACAAAATTTCATGAAGAGAACCGAGTATTTTTTTCAAGAAACAATTACTTACGAGTGTCTGCTTGAGAAATGCTTTTGTTCGTTTAAGTTTTGGCATACCACATCGACGAGCTCGTTTATAGGTTTGTTCAATAGTGGGGTTCATTCCAGGATTTTGTGATTCGTCTAGTTTAGTGAATTCCTGAAGACAGGGAAGGCAAAGAGGAAACACGCGAAAACTTTAAATGTGAATGATATCCAGAAAGAAAACAAAATTTCAACAATTAAACTTATTAAATATCTAGTTTTTTTAATACTAAGCGTTATTTGAAGACATTAATAAGGCTATAATACGGATATCAGCATCGAATATCATTTCAAACAACAAGCTAGTCACAATATTATATCATAAGATTAGTAAACAATGGATACTGTAACATTTCTATAACAATCTAACTACTAAGCCATTAACACAATTAAATTTTACAGGGGGAAAAGGTACAGTCTAGATGATTTATTGGTAAAATTTATAAGTTACACTTTAATCGAATTTCATAGTATCTAATTATATCGGTATAAAGTTGTGGGGATTGTTGAGTTTTGATTGAGGTCACCAACCGATCAATGAAAACCTGGAAGCACTGGACGGCCGTTTCGTCCTAGTATGAGACTCCTCGGCAGTGCGCATCCGGCGTGCAGGATCATAGATGAGCGTCTCTGAGCATCCTCAGATCAGTGATCCATGTCTCAGGACCAATGAACAAAACTGTTCTCCCTGACGCGTTGTGAACGCGACTTTTTACAGCCAAATTAATACCAGTAACTTAAGACTAATGAAGAAAAAGGTGATATGTAAGGGAGTAGACAGTCAGATGATGAGAAGAAATTGTTGATATAAGTCAATATTTAGTTATCAATTACATATGTAGTAAAAAGGATTTGACTTTAGGAAGTTAGATCGTAGGTTAGAACTTTATTTTTCGTAAGTTCAATTTAGACAGCTAATTGGGATCGCTAACTAACATATAAACAAAATGGCTCAAAGATGAATATATAATTCTATACTTATCAAACGAGTTGCATTAACTTTAATTTAAAACCAACGACTACTCTCTATATATATTCAAAATACATTTTTATTGATCATTAATACAGTCAAGTAAGTAGGTAAATCACCATATCACTTAAAAATATAACCTACACAAAATACTTGTCGTATTTTAGTATTTTTTTTACCAAACCTATTCATATATTGCAGAAAATAAGGACAGTTTAATGGCAATAATATAATCATATGGGTGGTCTTGAATTGAGTTGATTTAAGCAGAGATAAGAAACATTGTATTAGACAAAATAATTAACTGATATCATCAGTTGAATATACATATTGGCAATAATTATAACAAGAAAATGGAAACAGAACATCTCTGCCTAGGCTTTTCATCACTTTTCTTGAACACTATTAGTTTTGAATTTTACTGACATGATAAGCCAAGACAGAGAAGAAAACAGAATTGATACGTATACACTTATTTATCAGTTTAAATGGTCACATTCTTAACAAAGTGATGATCGAAACGGATAGGGGGAAAGGGGAATAAACGAACAAGGTTATTGGATTAGGAAGATTAAGAAGGTGACACATTGGAGGATTTTCTCAAGTCAATACAAGATAAAATTTAAAACATCGAATCTTTGATGAGTAGTAGTGTTGTCCCAGTGAAAGTGAACGGTGATTGGTTAATGGTCGCAGATAGACAAATATGAGAACTGTGATATACATTACGCTTCAGTGTTTGTAGTAATATAATAAACGTTGGTTTAGACCTGTACTGTGTTCTCAATCGGTCTTTAGATTAAAGCATGGAAAAATACTCACGTGGTCAGGTTTATAGAGCCAAGTAAGCAAGAAATACCGAATGCAATGCATATTGTTCATCCAGAGCACTAGGCATTGTGAAGATGTCAGCGGGGAGATAAAACATGATCCCAGGATGGATACATTCCTGCTGTCGTCAAATTTTTCTCACAGAAAATGGATGATATAAAATTATCACTCGAGGAACAGAACAAGTTAATTAAAGCCTTGTTGGTGAACATGTATTATCATATAAACTAGCTTCAGTCATCAATGACTGCTGATCCTAACACAAATTCGACCAAGTAATTTATTTTTGATAGTAGGGTAGTTTTTTAGGTTAAGATCTCTACCACGTTAAGAAGAAATGATCAGGGTACATGAATGTTGTTCCTATTAATCACTATTTTCCTTATATTTTTCTTTACACGACATTAAAAAACGTAAAATTTTTAACTAATACAGTCTCACTGGAAGGCAAACTCTCAGCAATGTGGTTTTTGAAGCGTTGTTAGCAACACTTCGAAGAAACATGATGAAATATTAAACAGGAATAGAAACCTAAGATAAATGCATTTCTCAAAAAGTTATATAGTGCAAAGATGGATGGCGACTAGCAGGACGCGCATTTCGTCCTATTCGGGATTCGTCAGCTGGAAGTACTTGCATCCCAGAGTAGTGACTTACTGACAATAACGAAGAAATCAGTAAAAGATGTATATATGTCAAAAGAAACGGATTACTTGTAATCCCAAACATCAATCGGAAGATCCAAACCAACATATATGAATTAAAAATTTATTTATACGATGTATTTCAGAACCGGATATTCTTATTATCCCCTAATACCAAACAAAAAGAATGTAAATTAGGCTAGACTGTGCGCCAAATCAGATGAACGGGTTAGTAATGCTATCGCCAACGTCTGTGTTATCATATTTTTAGAACACAATCAATGTATCAAGGAATGTGCCGCATTATCTCGTTTCCCTGACGATGTCCGATGAAGTGAAGTTTGTAAGAGTGTCCACCTGAACGACAACCAAATGTCCACAGAAATTAGCCACACTGATATGTTGAGTGGTGAGTCAGTTGTTAGAGCCCCCTCGCCTGCTTCTACTTAAGTGACCGGATAGTATCATTAGCCCTCACATTTAAACTGGTTCGAAGCCAAATACACTCATCTGTAGCTGGTAAATGAGCTTAACATTACTGTGACTAGATTTCACAGCTGAAAAATCGGTTTATTAAAACGCAGTATCAAAACCAAAATAAACAATGGCAACAAACATTTTCTAAACTTCAGTAAGGAACTAAAGGTCAGTCAGCTACAACGTAGGACCAGGCACATATATACATCGGTCCAAGTTGCCATACCTCATTAACACAACAAAATGAATTTAGAGGTGGTAATATATAAAAGAAAGATTGCATATAAGGATATAGCACAGGAAGAAAGAATTAGTTAGTGGAAAGAAAGATGTGAAGCGATTTTAATCTCACAGTTTAAGGGAAGACAGATTGTATACACCTATGCCATTGTGATCGATTCTGAGCCATGTCATCCAGAGTCTCCAACCATTGGTTACGATAGTCACGCGGACCCCAACCAAGCAGTCTGCATCTCTCAGCATGACTCAAACCAGAAGTTAGTGAATTCAAAGACTGATGTCATGTTTTGACCTGGCCGCCCTTAACTTTCTTCCAACCATCCCCAACACTAGTGAGCATTGAGCGTCGTGGTAATTGGTGTTCAGGCATACGCAATACGTGACCAAACCATCTCTTACCTGCTTAATACTTTAGTCTCCTATGTAAATTTTTAAAATGAACACAATATGTCGTTTTCTATTTGATTAGTGTCTAGTTACCTTGTCTCTGCTTAATGCTAACTTCAAGTTTTCCATAGTTAATGAACTGCCTTCTAACATTGCAACATGACATATTTACCATTAGACAACTTTTATTACAATGTAGAAAATAGATATCCCAATTATGTTAACTATTCATTCCACATAATGCTGCTACCTAACTTGAAATTATATTTTTCTGAATTCTAACCTTGCAATCCGGTACAAGTTAGTGAGTAGGTTTGAAGCTAGTGGCAACACACAACTATCGAAACCTTGTTAGGTGTATTAACGTTCAAAACAGTCATTTAACAGTTAAAAGTAGAGTATGAAAACTAAGAACAAGTCCAGCAAAGAATTTAAGACCTTAAAAACAAAATATTGAAACAAAATATGAGCACGGAAAAATATATACAGGTTGAACTATTTTATTTATTTATTTGAACACATAAATATTGGTACAAGAGGGCACCCAATATATACGCGCTACACAAAACAATGAGAATTCGAAGAGAAAGAAAAGAACAATAACGGACAGATTAGTGTAAGGTAGTGTATTAATAATAATAATAATAATAATAATAATAATAATAATAATAATAATAATAGTGGGGGAAACGGAAAGGTACAATCAGAGGAAATCCTTCAGTTAAGAAAGAAGCAACCACTTTTTATGGAGAAAGTAAAAGAAGTTTGCAGCAGGATCGCCACTGGCTTCTATTCTGAGCCATATCTGATAACGTCTCTAACCACTGTGTTGCACCACCTCTAGGACCCCAGCCAGAGAGTCGCGAAGGAGCGAAACAATCTACGAGGATGATGAGATGCCAATCACTAACATCCATCGACGTCTTGGACGATGGGTAGAATTTTTCGAAGAGCAGTTCAACTGACCTGCTGCTCCGGCAACATCGGTCAGGCTGTCCTGCCCTCCATGGCCGGTGACGACTGATCCACCAAACGAGGCGGAAGTCCGCAAGGAACTCCAACTCTTGAGGCGCTACAAATCACCTGGCCCAGATGACTTACCTCCAGCTCTTTGAAAAGATGGTGGTGACTTTCTGACTAAAGAACTGACGACGTTGTTTACAAAGGTTTGGGAGCTAGAGAGTGTACCAACGTCATGGAATGAGTCGATAGTTGTCCTTATCTTTAAAAAGGGTCCACGTCGTTCCTGTAACAACTATCGGGGGATAAGTCTACTTCCGATTGCGTCCAAGCTATTGGCTTCCGTCATACTTCGTAGGTTGTTCAAAACCCGAGAAAGATTGACTCGCGAGGAGCAGGCTGGTTTTCGTTCTGGTCGAGGATCACTCACACCACCAGCACTGATGCAGCTACCTAGATACATGAACTTCTCGACTACTTCTATCTGCTCACCACCCAGGGTGAGTACAGGATTAGGATCCTGCCAGTCTTGCAGAAGTACTTTGCACTTCGAAGGTGCAAATCACATGCCATACCTACGAACACTGATTGCCAACTGATTAAGTGCGGATTGCATGGCTTTGGCATTATCGCACAGTAAGACAATATCGTCCGCATACTCAAGGTCGAGAAGTCTTTCTCCAGGCAACAGATCCACACCACCATTACTTACATCCATCAGAGCTGTTTCCAGAATGTCGTCGATGGCAAAGTTGAAGAGGAATGGTGAGATTGGGCAACCCTGCCTAACCCCACTGCTCGGATGGAACAATGGAGAGAGGTGGTTGTATGCCCTCACTCTGCTTGAGGTGTTTGTATATAGGGCCTTTAGGATGTTAATAAACTTCTCAGGCACACAAATATGATGAAATGTCGATATTTATGGAAAAATACTTGTCTTGCTTCGATCAAGGTTGGACTTCAACACAAAGAATGAATAAACCTCACTTATGTATAACAACCGATCTCCTGAGATGGCTCGTAATTCCTAACCCACTGAATCATTAAAATAACCAACCGCAACAGTTCAGAAAACGTACTAAAATATTCCCATAGATGGAGAAACAAAACAAAACCCAGTAGCTTGTGACACTGCATGCATAGTGGAAAATGGATGCGTTTCCTGATATTTTTAACTATGGTATCAAACCTTTTTGTTCGTTTCTTCAAAACACATTTTATGACGCGCTCTTTGAATTAAGGTTTTGTTCCTAATAAAAAACAAGCTATATCGCCCTATCAATTGATGAATCCTTAATTTATAGTGTTGAAATATATTTTAAATAAGTATAGCAACCTCTAATGAATGAATCAGGTTAGATAGACTAAGAAGTATCGAAAGTACATCAAATCATCGAGCGTTGCATTCGATCGCACGGAAAACCCCAAACTAACAGAATATGAGGGTAATTACGCAAATAAATTCCGATACAGATTCGCAGTGACTATTCAATATCCACTAAAAATTACCTATAGCATAAAATGGTTGGTTTAATCACCATCTACATCTTCATACACCTCTTTTGATGTGCAAGAGTAGTAACTCTGTGTAACTGTTGTTCAGGTATTGCTTTTGTGAAAGTGTTATAGGATATGACAACTAGAACAACCTACACAAATACACCACGAGTTAAAAGCCAAACCCCTTATCCGCCAACTACTATGAAAATGAATATTAATACATGTGTACATGAACACTAAAAGAGTAATGTTGTAATTTTCTCATATTAGGACTAAACTACCCGTATTCCAGTAAGTATCGGCTAATTTCGTGAATTTATCCACCCTTAAAATTTAACGAAATGAATTCGAAATGGATTAGATAGTAAGTCAATTGAAGCACAACGTACTTAGCATTTACAGAACAAAAAGTGAAATTCTAAACACAATACTCAGTTATCGTCAGAATATTTTTACTAATTCACTTTTTATCATAGTAGCTTTTCAACAATGACGAAATTCAGATGTCTTTTTTGGTTACAAGGCTTTTATAAAACTTCGAGCTCCATCTCACAGGACACCCATTATTTAATGTGCACTTGAATGTTTTGCTAAACGATTGTTCTGTGAGGCTAATTCAGTTCCTGTTAACATTAAAAAGAAAGTCCCACAGTGATAAAGCGCTGGTGCGACAAATGTAATGAACTTTCATACTTTCGTATATGATACTTAAAACACCATCTTAAGTCTTTAAATAGCAGATGTTTCTGAGTACTCTGGATTAATAGAAAGACCAACTCCTAATGAGTAAGGCATGACATTACGATTGGAAATGACCGCGTCGAAAATTAATGAGCATAATTGTGACAGACATCCATGAAAAACACATCGAATTGTATTCATCCCATGTGAGTTACTTATGAGCTGTCATGCTCCAGAACATTCCACAATGATTCAAATTGTACGTACAAACTACCTGACTGATGAAGTTAAATACTATTCCACATAATGCCCCTAAGACAAAAGCGGTTAACGAATATACGTCTTAGAACTCTTTGGATTGATGGTGAATAAGTGAGTCATAAACCCAACTAATTATAAGTCCTGTGTACTTTTTTCAACGTTTGGTTTACTTCAAGTAATAGTCAGATGAAAGTACATGGATTCTATGGTTTAAGAAACCATAATAAAATCTTTGATTCTAGTAAAATTTTAATCCTACCTTATAAACCAGATCAAACACCGACCAAGGCAAATAAAAAACTGCTCATTAAGTTTTAATTAATATACCAAGTGAGGTGATAAATACACTAAACTAGTTTGCTTTCTGTGGCGAGAAATTGGAGGGATAGTGTTAGTTACCATAACACCCAAGAGACCAAGTCTTAATAGCGTGTTTATCAAACCAAATTATAACATACAAATCGATAGACAGCACAGTTCTTGAACACATGGTCAGTTCTGGCCACACCCCACTACATTAATCTTCGTTCAAAATCACTCGCAAAATAAAAATAATTGATGCAGAAAGGATTTGGATAGGGAATTCGCACACAGCCAAGGCTATGGCAATCCACCAATTCAAATCTAAGCTCTGTGTACAGAAGAGTTACGTTCAGTCCTTTATTCTACCATGGTCTTAACATACCTTTGAATTTCACCTTCTTTATAAATCAAACGGTTATATTTAGGTTTTGTTGTATACATTGCTTCTCACGCCTTTCGAATCTATTACACAAAGTAGGCTCTTGGTGATTTTTTATTACTGCAAAATGATGCAAAACTCCACTTGAAGCCCCTCCGGGGCTATTGCCGGTCCCAAGCCCGGATAAAGGAGGAGGGTTGAGCATGGAGTTAGCGACCCCATCCCGTAGAAAACTAGCGCGCTAAAAAAACGCTAACCAGAAAAAATGATGCAACCTTTCTTACTCAATACTTGAGAAATTTAATTGCATTGAAGTAACACACCTCCATTTGTAAATGATCATACCCAGTACATGAAATTTTTGATAATATTTACTATATTATGCAACACCACTTCATTTCTATTGACTTCTACTCGACTAAGTTTGATCATCTTTAATAATCTTGAAAAGCCCTTGTATTTCACTACAGACTACTATACGTAGAAATTACCTATAAACACGAATATACAACCTAAGAAAACGATATCGTCTGGAAAGTTTTCTCGCTGAAATATCTTAAACCTCTCAAAATTATACCATCTGAATTGCATAAAGCTATGCGCTATGTAATTGTTTAAAGTGATCCACGTGTATGGAAAAAGTGGAGAAAATTGAAATCACGGAAATGGGAATACAAAACCTATCACTGTACACACTTTCCAAAACCCAATGGAATTCTGCATATTAAGAAACGAAGACTACGCATACTGATAACTTTTATAGTTTTTCGAACCAATGAGGAGAAAATACATCAAACAAACCACATAACTCTACCTTAAACGGAAACATGTGGTGAGTGCATATGTATGTATTGTAGTTTCGTTTTTCAGATATAAAGCAATTTAAGAACGAAACCAGTTCTTACTAAACCGAAGTATCACTTCTTTTCGTTATTACTGAGCTTCATAGAAGCTAACCAATCACCTTTTTACGAAATATAACCCTTGTAAATGAAATCAGATAAAACCCTGCACTCGAAAGTTTAAAACGAACATCAAATTCTGTAAACTTAGGAATTATCGGAGGCAACTTAACAAAATTGTAAAGGTATCTGTGATTACACTCTGAATAAAATAACTACATAGCAAGTAAGATGGTTCACGAAATGAAACTTACCAGCATATCATCCATTGTTTTAAAAGATAAAATAGCAAATCCATCAATAAGGACTTCATTGTATTGCTTGGAACCATTTGGTAAATCCGTCAGTTTGTCACTTTGCTCCTGGTTTTCACTTTTATTAAATTCTAATCCATGATCAGTGGATAAGTCATTTTTGATATTTGTGAATAACCCTGCATGTTTCTCATCTTGAGGAATTGTCTTTTTGATCGAACATGGAGGGGAATTGCTCTGGAGCAGAGGATCTACATGTTCAAATGACAGGCACACAGAGTTAGGTATTTCTAATGCAGAAGCGATCAAACCGTTTTTTGGAGGATTGTAGCTCACTGAGTTATGGGTACTTATAGGACTATTACCGATAAACGGTTCTTCTGCTTTATTCTCAACATTTTTCACGATGCCACTTCCCTCCTCTTCACATTCTTCCTGGTCTACTTTATCAACGGTCCCACAGCTTTTTAGCATTACGGACTTAGAAAGGAACTCCCATTTACAGTTAGCGTTTTTACTCTAGCTTCTCATAAAAATATGATATAAACAAAACTACACGTGTCATTAAGCTAATCCATTACAAAATATCGTTAGTGATCTTAATTCCAGAAATGGGAGATATTGGTACGCAAAACTGAAAAGCAACCCAGTCGTTTGATCTTCCCACTCATAATCTGTGACACCTGTTCTTAATCATGTGTACGGAAAAGACATAAATTGTTTTTAGGTCGAAAGAAGTGCTTCGCTTATTATTTTTTCAATCTTATTGTTATTCCGTCTGGTTGTTTTTAATGGAAACGTTACAGATATATTATTCACCATTGATTCCAGTTTCAGTTTAAGAAAGGGCAGGAGACTTGATGGCCTGTGTTAGTCCTGGCAATGGTGGTCTCTCAGTTGATCCAACTTTCTTTTGAAAGAGTCGACGAATGGAGCCTCAACCACGTGCTGAGGTAGTGAATTCCACTAGTTGATGATTCGATGGGAATGTCGATATTCAGCTGACAAGTCCTGGGCTTGTGAACTTTTTAGTGTCCTCGTAAATTCTCTGGTTTGGAAAGTAAGAAAAATGAGGGCATATCAAATGAAAATTTATCACTAGGCAATTTGAAAACTGTAATCAAGTCGCCTCTAGTTCTTCGATATAACAACGGGAATATGTTTAGCTTGCCAGTCGAGCATCATACGTGAGATTCGAGAATCAGCGTAGTTTCTGTTCTCTGAACCTCTTCCAAAAGCTCACTGTCCTTTTTTAAACAGAAGGCAGCCGCTTGTTTGCAGTAGTCAAGTTTAGGACTCACAAACACTATATACAAAGTCAAAAACGTTTTAGCGTCGACATGACTAAAGGCCCTACGTAAAGTTCTAAAACCTTTGGTGGCTATTGCACTACAGCGTGCAGTAGTCTTTAAGTCTTGGCTAACGATGACTCCTAAGTCAGTGTGTGTCTGGACAACAGGTAGCTCAGTGTTATTCATCGTGTATATATCTGCATCTTGATCACCGATATCCATCACAATGCACTTGGAAGTATTTATCGGCAACTGTCATGTTTGAGACTATTCAGATAATTTCTCCAGGTCGTTTCGGAGTTCTAAGCTATCACCCTTACTTCCTATCGCTCTCCATATCTTGAAATCGTCAGTATATAGCAAAACCGATGATGATAGTAGGTCATTTACATACAAGTAGATTAAAGCATATACTTAAAGGGTTCGCAACGAAGTTAACTAGTTTCTTAAGTAAGCTAGGATTCAGTTCATCAGGCCCGTGGATTTGCCTATGTCAAGCTTATTTAACAGACCAAGGACATCGAGTACTTTAATGGTCACACTGATCAGTGTTTGTGAGGAAGGATTTGTATGGACTAACGGGAAGGGTGTTTCTATGGTATATACATTGCTAACGTAGTTTGAGAATACATGAGCCTAACCAAATTCGTCTTCCACTAATGATGAAGCAGTACTCTCTCCCATAATGCAGAAATATTTCCTCTTCTTTTTATCCTTTAATTTATATACGAACACAAGCGTTTGGGACATTCTATGGAATGCTTGACCATCTTCTCATCGTACAACCTTCTAGACTTACGGCAGGTTGTGGAAAGATGTTAGACAACTTATGATGTTAAATCATACGACATTTAATGTCACAATCTAGATGGTGGTTGGAGGTAGTCGACAGGAAATCCTGGACCAAAGTTTCGTGCTAATTGGCACTCGTCAGCAAGGTGTACCTGTGATTTCGAGGGAACTGATGCTCCCTAGCGGATTCGATCTCGTATCACCCAGCTTCACAGTCAGAGATAACATTCGATCTGCGCTAATAACGACTAGACACGCATGGCATTGATCACCACCCAGTGATCAATCAATTGTGATTACATCTCAGTCCTACAGGAGGTCAGTCACGACTCGGATAGCTCAGTAGCAACGTCTCTGACTGCGAAGCTGGTTGACACGAGATCGAACCCGCTAGGGAGCATCAGTTCCCTCAAGATTACAGGTACACCTTGCTGACGGATGCCAAGCAGCACGAAACCAGGGTCCACGGTTTCCTGTTGACTACCTCCAACCACCATCTGAAGCTCAATATATAGTGCCTGCAGTGTCGAGCCACCTAGACTGGTGGCCACATTGCAACATGATCGATAGCATTCGATCAGTACCATTAAGGACTAGACACGCACGGCATTGATCACCACCCAGTGATCAATCAATTGTGAATGTCACAATCTACGTAGCTTTCGTTACTTCGTTATCGTCAAGTCAACTGAAGTGGATAAGTGAGTGGCAGCGAGTAACAAATGACAACCATTACAACTCACCAAGCAAATGATTGTTAGAAGAGCATGTGTCCATTGAGCTATCCGATTTCCGCATTTTTGTTTGATTTCACTTTGACATTATTTTAAAGATAATATTCTCACCCCACGTACATAGATAAATATTGCTCGTTGAGTTTGGGTGCCCCGACGGTACAGTCCTGCTTCATGAAACTGATTTATGTATGAGTTTCTTATGGCCTTAGGTGGCAATCCAAGGATGTTTTGGATGTCACTTTCTCCTCTTCGATGCGAAAAGTTGCTTCAATACATACTTCATCAACACCTGAATAAGTGGTGTGAAGTGAAATAGTTGGACCTAAAACCTCTTGACTCATTATGTAAGTCCTATCAATCGTGGGTAATTTATATTTGATAACATGTTGGCGCGAAATCAAAGGGCTCGGTTGACCATCACCAACTTTCAGCACATGTGACGTGTGACATCTCTCCAAATAAACGAATGAGTGCACTGAACAGTGGTTTACTCTTTTCTAATTCATGAAGTATAGAGCACAGTCACAAAAGATATTTATGGTTTGCTATCATTCAGTCATAAGTGTTTTGAGATCACAGCCAGTACATTGTTGAACCATCACATAAGCGGTGTCGCCAGGCATAAGCTGTGATAGAATGAATACTTCGTAGAACTGTCCAAAGCGTCATATTTGACAGTCTTGTTATAGCTAGAATTATTCTCCATGTCTTAAACGTTATCTGTAGTGTTTATGTGAACTAACGATTCTTTTGTACTTGATGTCTGCCCGATTTTTATTTCTAAATACAATACATCCTTTCGTGATCGTCTATTACTTTTTAGTTAGATTACGTTGTTTCTCGGATTCTTAGTGCGTACAATAATTCAAATACTTCTACTCATAATGTTGACGTCGCAATGAAGCCCGTGACGGAAGAGTTAGACATCTGTTCAAATTTAGATGCTTTTGAGGATTACATGAAAAAGTTGTAAATCTGGGCTGTGAATAATGAAGATGTTGAGAATGTTAATATTGTGGCTCATTTCCTTACATTATTCGAAAAAAACCTACAACCTATTAAAAACTTTGGCCTACCTCACTTTCTTATATAACTCTCAAAGAACCACTGATAGACCATGTAAAGTGTAAAAATTTTAAATATGGTGAAGGAGGAAAATATCACAAAATGATTTGTCAGGACGTCATTACAACGCCATCCCAACCCAATTTGTACTCGATGTAATGCAGATAAAAATTCACTGAGTAATTGCGAAGCAGGCCACGAAGATGACCACAAGTTTCGTTAATGTTTGTCCATTGACAAATTTCACTCCTGTAATTTATGTGTATTTCGCAATATTAAACGTTTTAAATGTGGTAAAATTGGACACATATAAGCAATTCGTAAATTACAGTTCTGTTCGCAGCAAATAATGTTTAACTTTGTAATTCCTATTGTATTAAGTAGAGTGTTTCTAATGATCATTTATTTTTATCCACGACTTCAAGAAACAGTATAGAGTCATATAGCACTCGAAAATTAAATGAAACTCAGTAGCGTTGTGCGACAAAATCTTCTAGTTAATCAACTTATCTCATGTTATTGTACCAGACATGGTTTGTTCTAACAACTTACATATTTCAGTTGGAATGTATTACCAGTCTGAGGAAAATATGTTTAATAAATCGAATCATGATCGAAACTCTGATGCAGTTTCGATTGTTGCTGATTATCCTGATGATCAGTTATTCTTCAGTGACATTTTCAACAAATTTGAGGAAAACATTTCAGAAGAACAATACCCTTATATCTTGTCAAATCCTATTTGTCGTCATCATGCATTTGTTTCCAGTAGGAAACTTATTCAGTCCGAAGCACGAGTTCAAATGAGCTCGCTTTTAATTATAATTCATGTGATTTCATGTCAAATGTTGTTTATACTAACATGAAGTGACTCCTAATTAATCCTCTAATCATTATGAGAAATATGCTTTAGTGAAAACTACATTATTTATAACTTGGCGATATGAAGATCCATCATTATATCGTAGGGAAGGATAATTTTGTAATATTGACTGTTCAAATTATAGATAACAGCGGTTTTAGTATACAACCAATGTGGCGGTTTTACACGATTCCGGGAACCCGTTTACTCCGTTACAATTTCAGTTGCTACGTCTAGTATTAATGAGTATATTCTAGGTCACAAAGTCTACATCCAATGTACACTCGGACGGATACATGATAAAACTAAGGAAAAGATGTACGACTGATTGAAGCAATTTAGATTTTCATTTAAGCTGTGGTGGATGGAGTGTTTGTATGAACTAATGATTCATTTGTAATTGAGATCTGCCTGTTTTCGTATTCTAAATATAAAGCATCCGTTCGTGCTCATTTATTACTTCTTGGTTAAATTTCGCCATTTGTGGTATTCCTAGTTCGTGCAATAATTCAAATACTCCTAATCGTCACATCACCTTTCACTAGGGACTTGTTTAACTATACATAATAGTTGGGAGTATTCGAAATAGTATACTAACTAGGAACTCCTGAAATAGTGCAATCCAGGCCAAACAGAACTAAATAAGCAGAAACAAATATATTGTACGTGCAATTCGTAATAAATAGGGAGTTCATTACAAAGGAATCATCACGTCGTGCAGATGTC